CAGTCTGACTATGACATGGTGGATTACCTGAACGAGCTGCGGGAGGGCTGTCTGGAGGCCTACACGGGSATCATCCAGGGCCTGAAGGGAGACCAGGAGAACGTGCACCGTGAGTGTCCACGGGGTTTTATTGTTTGGGGAAAAACCCTCAAAAATCAGCTGGGTTGGTGTCACCTCCGAGCCAGCTCCCCCAGTGTCACAGCAATGTGTTTTTGGGATTTCCAGATGTGGGGATTGCCCTGGGTCGTTGTTCCAGTGGAGAAATATCCCCCAATTTCCCATACAAACCTCTCCTGGTGCTTGGGGCYGTTTCCTCTTGTCCTGGCACCTTTTCCTGGGAAAAGAGACCGATCCCAGCCGGGTCCAAGCTCCCTGCAGGGATCCAGGAGATCCCTCCTTCCATGGCTGTCCCATCCCTGAGCCATCCCTGTCACCCCACAAGCAGAAACCCCAAATATCCGGGGTTATCCCCCATTCCGGGTGGGATCCAGGCCCTTTTGGGATCCCACCCTGATAATTCCCCACCCCTGACCCCTCTCTCCTGGCAGCTGACGTGATGCTGGTGCAGCCCAGGGTGGAATTCATCCTGTCCTACATCGACCACATCGCCGGGGACGAGGATCACACGGACGGGGTGGTGGCGTGCGCCGCCGGCCTCATCGGGTGAGAGCTCCCTGCCCTGATTTGGGGCAAAATCCTGGGATTTGCCTTTTCTCCTCACTGCCTGAGGGGYTGGAAATCAGTTCTGGGCTTTGGCTTTGGTGTTAAAGGTTCAGAGATTCTGAATTCCCAAAGATTCCAAAGCCCTGCAGGTTCTGACCTCCTGAGGATTCTCTATTTTTTCCTCTCAATCCCCTGATTTCCCTTTTTTCCTCTCAATCCCCTGAATTCCCTTTTTTTCCTCTTAATTCCCTCTTTTCCCTTTAATGCCCTGAATTCCCTTTTTTCTCCTGATTCCCCTTCTTTCCTCTTAATTCCTTTCTTTCCTTTTAAATCCCTAAATTCCCTTTTTTCCCCTTTAAATCCCTGAATTTCCTTATTTCCCCTTAATCCCTTTTTTCCTCTTAATCCCTTTTTCCCTTTCAATTCCCTGAATCCCAATTTTTCCTCTCAAATCCCGAATTCCAACCCCCTGGAGATTCTGACCTGGATTTTCCACATTCCCAAACATCTGAGGTGTCTGAACCCCTTCAAGTTTTCCCCAAATCTCTGCCCAACTTTTGATGGAATTTTTTTTTTTATAAATTTAATTTTTTTCTTCTTTTCCCCAATTCCAGGGACTTGTGTACAGCTTTTGGGAAGGATGTCCTGAAATTAGTAGAAGCCAGACCCATGATCCACGAACTTCTAACGGAAGGGAGGAGATCCAAGACGAACAAAACGAAAACGCTCGCGACCTGGGCCACGAAAGAGCTGAGGAAACTCAAGAACCAGGCTTGGTAAGGCCTCATCCTGCTCTTAAATCCTGCAAAATCAGGGAATTGTCTGAAAAAAACCCACAATCCCCAAAGTTCTGTTCTCCAGGGGGGTTGTTCCTCTGGTTTTGGGGTGAAAAAAGCTCCTTTTGGGGTTTTTCTGTCAGCAAATCCCRGGCCTGGGATGGGGTGAGGAAATTCCCAATGTGGAGCAGGGTTTGGGGTGAAATACAGGTTTTAGGGTGTTTTTGGTGTAATCCTGGAATTGCTGAAGTTGGAAAAATCTCAGAGGTGGAGTCCAACCC